TATGAATATAAATCGGTATTGGCGTGTAGATGTCTGCGGGGTGGGAGAGTTATCAAGCACGTAAAGTTTGTTTCAGATGTGAGCATGTACACTGAACAATAATGTACCCAAACAATAAAATAAATTCCTTTTATATTTCCCTGCCTTGTTGTTTATGTGTACATACAGAGGAAGAATGTGAGAACAGCACACATTTCATCGTTACTGTGTGTTAGAGCATGGGAGAACAGTGGATACTTTTAATACAGCCCACACCCCTAATACTGTGTAACTATAACAAGTAGAGAACAGAAGAAAAGATGTTCTTTCTTTACAACTGTCTGCATAGCTTATTCATATTGTGTAATGAATGAAAATAAATAGGCCTACTAGGCTCCTCTCTACTTTGACATTTAAGATTAGCTTGTTTGATCCACCTTCATACACATGTGACATTACTGTACAACTTGAGAAAGGTGAGTTGTTTTCTGCTCCAGCCTGCCTAAAAGAAAAGCGTTTTTGGGATTAAATGGACTTTATTAGCTGCTGCAGTGCAGGATGAACTCAGAATAGACCCATTTCTCACCTTATTATTCTAAATCATGCAACGAAGAAGAAGAAGAAATGCATAATAAATCCTGGGACAAAATCTGTCCACAAATACTGTACAGCATGTAGTCTGATGAACAAGACTTGTGTTATAGCTGACTTGGGCAGTGAAATGTTTTTTTAATTCATGTGGTCATAGTTGTCCACAACTCAAATCAGAATATAAGAAGAAATGTTTTATACCACCTCAAGAAGGCTTCCTATCAGAAAGGTAGGAAGGTATTTCAAATGTACAACTGCAGTCCTGAAATCTAAGTAAAGTAATTTCCCTGACATTTTTGTGTTACTTTACTTTTAATAGACGCATGTAACAGGTTTTATACTTCCTGTGAGTATAATCCAATCAATCTTATTTTCATACTGTATATCCGATGTGTAATTTGATAAATTGTGTTGTATATCGTGCTCGCATCTCAGAGAAGACTCTGACTGCAACATGCGTCTTTGTAAAGAGAGAAACGGACAGAAAAAGTCTCTAACTCTGCCTGTCAGCTCGCTCTGCTCCGTTAAAACTGAATTTACCATACAGAATTGAATACGAGTGCACTCCAGATTTAGCTGCAGCCAGCTGACCGTGTGCTTTTCTCTATACCGCAGTTCTGTGTCCATGCATGCAGCAAACTGAAAGCACTGTCTGTCGGAGCGTCTACGTGAAAAGAGAAGGAAGACATTGCTGGTAGTATTGTCTTCAGAGTTGTTAAACACCTCAGCGCACTGAAGGAAGCCATCTGACTGTGTGAGGGGCAAGATCGTTGATGTCTGCAGGCAGAGTAGGAGCTCTCCTGTCTGACTGGTCCACCAATAGCAGAGAAGATGACCCCTTGAGTTATCAAGCACGTAAAGTTTGGTTCAGATGTGAGCATGTACACGTAAGTTACAACAACTTCCTGTGTCATGGCGAAGACTTGATCTCTGACGCCACGCCACGGACACACCCATTGACGAAAACTCGCAAATAGCACAACTTTTCATCTTCAATGCCTTTAGAAGGCACAGCACAAATTTTAAGTTGGTCGGACTAAATTCCTAGGAGGAGTTTGTTAAAGTACGAAGTGTGTAAATCATCCAAAATTTGACGTAAAATTCAAAATGGCCGACTTCCTGTTGGATTTCAGGGCATCGCTCCAAGAGACTTTTTTGTGCGTCTGGACAAGATACACGTACCACAGAAAATTCGTGCACGTAGGTGAAACGTGCGGCGGGGGCTGCTTCGTTAAAAGTCACTTCCTGTTGCCAGCAGGTGGCGCTATGACTGTGGGTGAATGTCAGCATGTACATGTGTTCAGGGCGGGACTCTCATCCTACATGTACAGTTTGGTGCAGATGTGAGCATGTACACTGAAGTTACGACAACTTCCTGTGTCATGGCGAAGACTTGATCTTTGACGCCACGCCACGGACACACCCATTGACGAAAACTCGCAAATAGCACAACTTTTCATCTTCAATGCCTTTAGAAGGCACAGCAGAAATTTGAAGTCGGTCGGACTAAATCACTAGGAGGAGTTCGTTAAAGTACGAAGTGTGTAAATCATCCAAAATTTGACGTAAAATTCAAAATGGCCGACTTCCTGTTGGGTTTAGGCTATGGCTCCAAGAGACTTTTTTGAGCGTCTGGACAAGATACACGTACCACAGAAAATTCGTGCACGTAGGTGAAACGTGCGGCGGGGGCTGCTTCGTTAAAAGTCACTTCCTGTTGCCAGCAGGTGGCGCTATGACTGTGGGTGAATGTCGGCATGTACATGTGTTCAGGGCGGGACTCTCATCCTACATGTACAGTTTGGTGCAGATGTGAGCATGTACACTGAAGTTACGACAACTTCCTGTTTCATAGCGAATCATCGACGCCACGGACACGCCCATTGACGAAAACTCGCAAATAGCACAACTTTTCATCGTCAATGCCTTTAGAAGGCACAGCAGAAATTTGACGTCGATCCGACTAAATCCCTAGGAGGAGTTCGTTAAAGTACGAAGTGTGTAAATCATCCAAAAATGGCCGTAAAATTCAAAATGGCCGACTTCCTGTTGACTTTAGGCTATGGGTTCTTGAGGCTTTTTTGTGCGTCTTGATATGATACATGTCCCCAGAAAATTTCGTACATGTAGGTTGAAAAAAGAAAAAAAAAAATATATATATATATATATATATAATCCGAGCAAATTCAATAGGGACCTCACACGGTCGTGCTCGGGCCCTAATAATCCGAGCAAATTCAATAGGGACCTCACACGGTCGTGCTCGGGCCCTAAATATATATAATCCGAGCAAATTCAATAGGGACCTTGCACGGTCGTGCTCGGGCCCTAATAATCTTAGCAAATTCAATAGGGACCTCGCACGGTCGTGCTTGGTCCCTAAATATATAATCTGAGCAAATTCAATAGGGACCTCGCACGGTCGTGCTTGGGCCCTAAATATATAATCTGAGCAAATTCAATAGGGACCCCGCACGGTCGTGCTCGGGCCCTAAAAATACAATCTGAGCAAATTCAATAGGGACCTCGCACGGTCGTGCTCGGGCCCTAATTGCCAGCATTTTTCTGAAGTTGTGTGGTCATTTCTCACCAGTCACTCTGTGTTGATAAAGTAGAGCTAAAAGGGGAAAACAGTCATTTTGTTCTCATATTTTGCCTCTAAGTGCTCTTGATCCCAAAGATAGAGTTGTTTTTGCTGGTTTCTGTTCTGCGTGTCTGATTGGTGAAGGTATCTCTTATTCCACAGGGACTCTCTGCACTTATGTTGTGTTCTTGTCACCCGTGGGACCTTCCTGGGCATTGAGTGCTGTTTGTGTTTCTGAGTGTGAAAATGTGTGTATCTGTCAGCCCCCTCTGTCTGTGTCTAAGTTTGTGAGTGATTGTGTCCACCCCTTCATATTGACCTTCAGAGGTGTGTGTTTGGGTGTGTGTTTGTGTCTCTGTCCCTTCAAGACGCATGCCAATCAACCACAGCTCCAACACTCCATGATGCGCCTTCTGCCGCATCCTGTGGATACGCACAGACATCTTACTTGTGGTTTTTTAATTTATCACTTCTCTTTTATTCAACTTCCTCTTTGTTTGTTTTTCAAATTTACTTTCAGTTGTGTGTTTGTGACCCAGCCCGCCCACTCCTGGCTGCCCCATATTCCACATAGCAACGTTTTGCCATAGCAACAGTGCTCAGAGATGGGTCATCCTGCTGTGTCTGCTGGGAAATTTTACATGCCAGTACATACTTGCAGGCCCAGATCAATAAATCTCAGTTATGTTTTTCTTTTCCCTAGTTTGAAAGGTGAGGACATCCTCTGCATAGTACTGCTGTCGGGTTTAAAAAACCCTCTGTTTTTATTTAATGAATTTGCAGGTTTCTAGCTCAGAATGTGCAGGCAGAGGTTCACAGTCTTGCTCAAGGACACTTTGGCTGACAGATAAGAATTTTATCCAAACCAACAGGGACTTTCCAATAAACTGTGATTTCTGTTCAGCAATTGACTCAGAATAATATTATCAGCTCCATTTTAAAATGTCTTCTTTAGGAAAAGTACAACCTTTCAAGACCAGATTGTCTCTTTTTCAGAGATGGTCTACATCTACCAAAATGTAAATATATCAAGGAGCGACGTAAAGCTTTTCCCCTAAGATGGTTTTCAGTATATAATCTTGAAGTAAAATAAGTGAGGTGTAAGACAGTTTCTTTCATATCTGTAAATATATTTTTTGACCTTCAGGAAGCCAGGTTAATCCCTTCAATGTGGTCTTGCATAAATGGACATAAAATGTGCTTGACAGTTGGTATGGAAGCGTAAGTATCCTGCAGACAGCTCTGGTTCACGTTGACCAGATATAAGGAGAAACATTTTAATCATTTCTAAAGTTTCACCCAAAAGTAGTTTGTGTTGCAGGGAAGCATACTTTTTCTAAATGTAATAAAGTTGAGGATTTTAAAAAGGTCATTGCACAGTGATGCAAGTGTTTCGAAAGCAGAAATCACTGTTGCGGAACAGACTGAGTAGTTTTATTTTTCAGCTGTAAAATGTCCCACTCAGTATGTATGTTGATCACAATTCTTTAATAAACAAATAAAAGTAATGATATCACAACATTGTAATCAGATTGCTTTAACACAAACCCCCCCCCCAGTATCTGTCAGGCTGTGGTGTCAAGGTTCTAAATATCTAACTTACTGGCTCTTAAAGTATATTAAATAATAGACATTTGGATGAAGCATGCAGTATAGAGTTTGTGGAAGGTTCGGCCCGACAGCACGTGGTGAATCTCCCCAGCCAGCCCGATGTTCACCTCCTGTCATACCCCATTTATTTTAAGTTTGCACTTGTTTGTTTCTTGCTCTTCTCCTCCCCCCTCCCTTACACTTCTCTGTGGATGCCCCCCCCCCAACAACTCTTGTCCTCCTGACCCTCTCGCAGGCGCCACTCCCCCTATAGGACTCTTGAGCCGGTGCGTCCACCCGTTGTCCCTAATGACTACGTCTCAAGCCCGACGCGCAACATGGCGCATCCCCAGCAGAGCCCTGCACGCACTGCATCCGTTAATCAGAGGAACCGCACGTACAGGTACCCCGTTCCCCATTCCCAGCATGCCTCTCTTCACTTCTTAAACACACCCCTTTTCCTCTACCTCCTCCCCCTTTCTTCTTCTCCTCTCTTACACTTACAGTGCGAGCCAGCTCCTGTGAACATGCCTCTCCTCTTCTTCTCGGAAATTACTCCTCAAAGTGTAATCCCTTTTGTTCCCTCCTTATTTTTTAAATTCCACCTGAACTCACAAGTTTGACCAACATTAACCTTTTTGTGCAACAGCTCCCAGGGAATTCCCAGCTTGATTTATCTGAAAACCCCTCACCTGTGTGCTCTGCTCGCTGCTCAGATAAGGACAAGGAAATGAGGATGAGGTTGAGATTCAGAGCTCTATTTAGCATGGCTAGACGCAGGTTCCTATGGTAAAAGTCATTCAATAGGCAGCGTCGCCCCCACAGTCCTGTCAACCCAATGTCAGCTCATCTCCCAAGACGACACTCTTTCATCCCAAAAACAGAGATATTCATAGATTCCCCTGTCTGCCGTGAGAGAAGTAAGAGCATGGGTTTGGGGCGAAGAACGACATGGAACGTTTCGTCACTGCGCCCCATCTGTTGGCCAAATGTTTTTAATATTTCTGGTCCAGAAATAGACGAGAAAACTTACCCCGACTCTCCTCTCAGCACGAGTCTTTATCTGCACCACTCCATGCACCGCTCATTATGTTCATCTGTCAGCCTTTCGTGCAATCAGTCTGCCCCATGTATTCTGATGCTTCCTGCTTTTCCAGTGTGTCATATCTTTGTCTTTGTCTTGTGTCGCTACTGTGTCACCTATGTCATGTGTCCTTGGTGCAGGCTTCCGGTTTGTTTTTTTTTTGTTTTTTTATCACTGTAACATAGTCATTTCAAAGGCATAACAGCTCACACTAACACATGAATGCTCTTGAGGGTGCCACATTGTTAATTTCAGTTATTGAGAAGCCAGGAAACCGTAAGACTAAAACATGCTGAACACCGCTTAAAAGAGAGATCCACTGATGTGGTGTAAAACTTCACATTTCTGCTTTTGAAGTAAATGATCTGTGTAGTAATCCAATCTTTTTCAGAGGTCCCAGGAACCATTTCAGGAACTCAAGATCCTTGCCTGTGTCTGGCGTCAGGATGGTCCAACCGAAATGCTTATTGGCTATTCAAACCACGCATGGACCCCCTCACTCCCCAAATTGGTGGGACTATGTCCCACGATTTTTGTATCATTCTGAAACCGACAATCCGATGAGCTTCCACTTCACAATTGATTGTGAAAGTTAGCAGGGTTCGAACTTCTCTCTTAGCCTGTTTTTATATTTTATTCTAATTCCTCACACAACTATTTCTGGTACTTTTTAGTGTAAAAAAATTAGTGCAAAACTATCAACGCCTGCTAAGAAAGAGTTTCTGAATACACCGATATCCCCATTATAAACACTTTTGCCTTCTCACATGATCAGTTGCCATTTCGTATGAATGGTTTCGTTTTGTGCTTAACCCCACCTCGTACCTAGTACGCTTAGAGATTGATACATAGTGTGCAAATTTGCTGAAAATATGAGTGAATAAGTGATTTAGAAAGCATGACTTGCTGTTTCATTCTACTTTTCCACGTCTGTATGTCTCATTGTTAGCTTGTGCTTTTCAAATGTTGTAATTTTTCAGAATAAGATGCAGTGAAAACCCAAATAGGAGTGCTCTTTAGTTCCTGAGTTTAGTTCCTGAGGCTCTAGAGTTCTTGGCCCTATTTGATCAAAAAGGGCTACGTGAAGATTTCGTTGGAGACATTTTGAACAAAATAGATATACTGTATTACATTTAAAAAAACTAAATGATAGTGACTGTGAAAAAAAGAATTAGGTCAACACAATCTGGTTACAGAGGTGCAACTTTTGTTGTGTACGACGGTGACAGTGTGTTGGGCGTTTGTGGTCTGACATGTTTGCTGTACTACTCACCACCAGCAGTGGGAGCAGCGGAGGCAGCCACCCTAGCAGTAGTCGCAGCAGCAGCCGAGAGAACAGCGGCAGCGGCAGCGTGGGCGTACCCATCGCTGTGCCGACCCCGGCCCCGCCCACCGCCTTCCCAGGTAAAGCCTGCTGCCTTTTGTTTCTCCCGAGCAGATGACCGCAAGGATCTGTGTGTGCCTGAAACTAACTAACCTGATTAATCTCTGTTTAGCATTCAGGATTCCTACATGCTTTAGGTGTGATATCAGTTGTTTTCTGGGTGAAATGAAAATGTGTAGGAACCCTGTATCTGCTGGAATCCTTTCCTCCCTTCTCACTCTTATCTTGTCTTGACCTCCTTCACCTATCTTTTCTCTCCTACCCTTAAATCCCTTTGAAACCTCAGCCCCAGCCCAATCCAACCCAGCTAAACCTTCCTCCAACACTGCCACCATCCCTGGTCCCCCCACCTCTGCCCTAGATGGCCCCCCACAGGCCCCAAACACCCCAGTAGAGATCCCGCCTGTACCCCCGCCCCCTCCCCAGCTCCCTGCCTCTGCAGCCCCCACTGGCACAGGCCCCGCTACTTACGGCAACCCTGCACAAGGTGAGTGTCACCCGGTGTGAGAAGCTCACCCACTCCTCGACAGAACCTCCATCTCACCTCCCCTGACATGCATCCTCCTGCTTGCAAGACCCAGATGTGTTTATCCACTGGCATGTCATCACCCTGGATATTATGTTGTGTATGTAGTCTGACCGCTCGCTCTGCCTACTGACTGCTCAGAAATCACAAGGTTTCTCTAAAATTCTGAATACCTAATATCTAAGGACAACCAGCCAGAGATGTAACATACTCCGTTGACATACGACAACATACGCCTTTGAATCTGTCTCAAGTGAAGGTTTGAGCCTAAAAGTAGAATAAAAAGTTGTTTAGCTCTATTCTTGGTATTGAGTTGCGATTGAAAATCAAGGAAAACGTGGAATTAAATGTTACATGTCTTCTAGTCTCAAGTCAAAACCCAAGTCAAGTAATTTTCTTCAAACCTTAGTTTAACACCATCTGTTTGGTTTAAAATAACTTACCAATTTGGTTCGGTTTTTGTGAAAGCGGTCCATTGATCTCCGGTGCGGGCTAAACAACCAAAATGATACAGACCAAAAAAAAGGTGGGGGGTCACTGTCCACTTCCAAGCATGCTGGTGCTGTTTGTGGTCTGTAAGGGAAGTAGACCAACCGCTAGGGTTGGGCCATTAGACGATGCCATTGTCCATTGCCGATGGATGACGGACATCACAATGTTGAGCCGTCATTGTGATTGAAATCTTAAATTCTTCATAACCATGGTAACCATGGTAACACGTATGTGTGTCAGAAAGTGAGTGCATAAATGTTCCTTGTTCATTCAGAAAGTGAAAAGCATTTGTGGTGTGAAAATACCTCACTTCTTATCATATGCAAGATTCCATCTGTACTAAGGATGTTTATAATGAGTAATTTCTTTGATCTCTTTGCTTTACTTTATAACTAGCTGTCAGTCGCAGGGAATTGGATGCAGCATAACAGTTGCCCCAACAGTCAATGAGTTATCTGTCGGTTCATGTTTAAGGCTCTTTGTTCCTTTTATAAAAAGTCAGTGTAAATGCGAACCATCCCAGAACTCTTGGGTCTGGGCTGAACTACAGGTGTAAAAACGCCAGTCACACACAGACACACAGACTAAAATAAATAATTGCATCTCAAGACTTGACTGCAACTTATCTGAACTTGATCTATCTATCTCTTGTGCACCAAGAATTTGTGGCAGAGTTTATTTTGCATGTTACTCTTGATCAGTACCAAGCAATGGCACAAGGACTAATAAAAATCAGATGGCTCTGGTCAGTGCATCATATATTGAATTGTTTATGCTCTGGGTTAGTGCTGTTTAGTGTGGAGCTTGAGCTCTCAGAAATTGACCAAAGCCTTCTCTGCTTTATACAAAGAAATGTCCACCTCTCAAGGGCTGCACACCTAATTCAGAAATGTTTTGAAAATACAATATTGAGAACAGAAAATGTAGGTAAACAAGATAATGTGATTTGGAATCTGCATTTCAAAGGAAAGCTTTACATCCAGTCACCTACCACATGTTTTTCCTCAAACAGTTAAAAATCTGCTTTGAAAGGTGATTATAAAGCACTTCAGTCCAGCCAGTGTGCAGCTCTTCTGCCACCTACCTCACATTTCACATCTTCCACTGCTGCTGGTTCCTCCAGTCTTCATCCCTTACAGCATCTCGTCGGCTGTATAATGCATGAGCTTTTTTGTGTTTGTGTGTGAGTTAAGTTCTGTGGCTGGATTATCAGTTAATGTGCAGTGCTGCTGTTTAGGGTAGAAAATTAACAGTATTGGCTAAATGTAAATATGGATGAAGTATGGATATTTTTTTATTTGGCCCTACCATACAATTCTTCACAATGAGGATTGTAATGACAACTGTTTCTTGCCATTGTGTGACAGTTTCTGCAAAGAATTCTCACTGTTTTGGCTTGGACCCAGGCTGATTACTGAGTTTATTTGCATTATAAGCAGGTGAAAATAGGTGCAGTGTTAAACTGAGTTCAGGAAGAACCCTTTCAGGCATTACAAGGCTGGTTTTCACGGACAGTTTCATTAGTAGCCACAAAAGCATCTTGGACAAATCAGACTATTTGTATACGACTTTTATTTGGGTACTTTTATTTATTGTACCATTGTTTCAAACGAAGGACTGTACTCTTTATTCCAGCTGTAGTTGCTAGATAGTTGGCAAACTAAAGGCGCTGCATACCCACAGAGGTGTTTTTCAATTATCCTGTCTGATTAGACCTGTTGTGAGGAGTAAATATGCCGGGAATTACATGACTTCAACAAACAACAACTTTTTGTATAGCGCTTTACATAGACACGAGTCACAAAGTGTGTCACAAAAACATGAACATACAAGAATAAAAACAGAAGATCAAATACCTGTAATAAAAATATATAAGTACCTGGTAAAAGTACACAAAAAATACATACAAATACGGATATTTCTGTCAATGTTTGGGTGCAACAGCCTCAAAAGCTCAATCACAATAAGTCACAATCATAATAAGAGTCAGTTTGTGGTAGTTATGAACCACTGAGCGTTAACAGCAGTACTGGGCAGTGATGAGGAAAACCCTATCAACAAACAACATGACTCAAAATACTGTGTGTGTAAAAAATATATATATATATATAAAACAAACAAACATGTACAGTGACAGACTGCAGGATTACGTCTGTAAGATATATCATGCTATTCCAAATTACACTAAAAGGCAGCATTATATGGCTATAGGCTGATTTGACTTGACTTGACCTCCCTGTTCAGTACACCAGAGGGATGAAAAATGAAACCCCTCCTCCTCGCCGCCTTCTTTAAGTGACTCTTTGCTGCCCCCTGCTGTTGTCTCCTCAGGTGCTCCTCAGTTCTACAGCATGAACCGCCCGGTGCAGCCGCCCCAAAACCAGCAGGTTGGAGGCTCGCTGCCGTACAGACGACCCTCCTCCGTCACTGGTCAGCCCAGTGTGGCCCACAACCAAAGCCAGCTCAACGGTGGGCCACACTTCGCCCAGAACCAAGGTACTGCTTGCAAAAATCTGTTGGTAACCAAATTCCTAAATATATTTGTTTAACAAGAATACCTATTTTTTTTTTTTTTTCCTGTGTATTTACAGCTATAGAACACATCTTATTAGTTTTATTGATTTGACTTATAGTTACACATATGCAAAAGAAACAAGTTGAGCTGGCAAGTGCTCAATTTCTGTTTTAAATGTATCCACTATATTTAACAAGAAAGATTGGTTAACTCTTGATGAACAGTTTTTTTGACAGTACAGTCTAGTGTAAAACTATGACACACCAACATTAAGTGTACTTTTAATCTTGATCACCTGCCAGGACACAGCCTTGAAACATAATCATTGGAAATGGGAAATTATGACTAACGTATCTACATACCTAAGTATATTACTGTAATTTTCAGTAACAGCCTATGGATCTTATCACAGAGGATAACTTTAATACCGCATTATGCCACCCTTGTTAATCCATATCTTTGAGTTGAGTTGATTGGTAGCTCTCTGAGACACACATTAATAAGGAATGATTTAACCATTACACTGTCTTGTATTGGCTTCAAATATGGACGCACATGTTCTCTTAAGTATAACTGGGCTGTTTGAAAATTTGTCATGAATAATTGCATTCAAGATTTATGATGGATTATACATATTTAGACTTGACATTCACCTAGAAAATAACATTGCATTCTTATGGTGATCGCTCATTACAAAACAATTAGTGAAATCTGACATTTTTGTTTTAACTGACAGCAACTATGGCTAGGCTCAAGTGCAACTGCATACAGTGGGTACGGAAAGTATTCAGACCCTTTAAAATTTTTCACTCTTTGTTTCATTGCAGCCATTTTCCAAAAATCAAAAAAGTTCATTTTATTTCTCAGTAATGTACACTCAGCACCCCATCTTGACAGAAAAAAACAGAAATGTAGAAATTTTTGCAAATTTATTAAAAAAGAAAAACTGAAATATCACATGGTCATAAGTATTCAGACCCTTTGCCGTGACACTCATATTTAACTCAGGTGCTGTCTATTTCTTCTGATCATCCTTGAGATGGTTCTACACCTTCATTTGAGTCCAGCTGTGTTTGATTATACTGATTGGACTTGATTAGGAAAGCCACACACCTGTCTATATAATTCCTTACAGCTCACAGTGCATGTCAGAGCAAATGAGAATCATGAGGTCAAAGGAACTGCCTGAAGAGCCCACAGACAGAATTGTGGCAAGGCACAGATCTGGCCAAGGTTACAAAAAAATTTCTGCTGCACTTAAGGTTCCTAAGAGCACAGTGGCCTCCATAATCTTCAAATGGAAGACGTTTGGGACAACCAGAACCCTTCCTAGAGCTGGCCGTCCGGCCAAACTGAGCTATCGGGGGAGAAGAGCCTTGGTGAGAGAGGTAAAGAAGAACCCAAAGGTCACTGTGGCTGAGCTCCAGAGATGCAGTCGGGAGATGGGAGAAAGTTGTAGTAAGTCAACCATCACTGCAGCAATCCACCAGTCGGGGCTTTATGGCAGAGTGGCCCGACGGAAGCCTCTCCTCAGTGCAAGACACATGAAAGCCCGCATGGAGTTTGCTAAAAAACACCTGAAGGACTCCAAGATGGTGATAAATAAGATCCTCTGGTCTGATGAGACCAAGATAGAACTTTTTAGCCTGAATTCTAAGCGGTATGTGTGGAGAAAACCAGGCACTGCTCATCACCTAGTCTCAACAGTGAAGCATGGTGGTGGCAGCATCATGCTGTGGGGGTGTTTTTCAGCTGCAGGGACAGGACGACTGGTTGCAATCGAGGGAAAGATGAATGCGGCCAAGTACAGGGATATCCTGGACGAAAACCTTTTCCAGAGTGCTCTGGACCTCAGACTGGGCCGAAGGTTTAACTTCCAACAAGACAATGACCCTAAGCACACCGCTAAAATAACGAAGGAGTGGCTTCACAACAACTCCGTGGCTGTTCTTGAATGGCCCAGCCAGAGCCCTGACTTAAACCCAATTGAGCATCTCTGGAGAGACCTGAAAATGGCTGTCCACCAACGTTTACCATCCAACCTGACAGAACTGGAGAGGATCTGCAAGGAGGAATGGCAGAGGATACCCAAATCCAGATGTGAAAAACTTGTTGCATCTTTCCCAAAACGACTCATGGCTGTATTAGATCAAAAGGGTGCTTCTACTAAATACTGAGCAAAGGGTCTGAATACTTATGACCATGTGATATTTCAGTTTTTCTTTTTTAATAAATTTGCAAAAATTTCTGCATTTCTGTTTTTTTTTTGTCAAGATGGGGTGCTGAGTGTACATTACTGAGAAATAAAATGAACTTTTTTGATTTTTGGAAAATGGCTGCAATGAAACAAAGAGTGAAAAATTTAAAGGGGTCTGAATACTTTCCGTACCCACTGTATATCTACTCAAAGTAACTCAAGTCAAACCATAGTTATGCTTTTACATAGAAATCACATTTTAATAAATAACAGTGGCATTCCCCGTTGATGAGAGTGGGACACAACCAAACTCCTGGCCTCTAGCGCACACCCCTCTGCACGCTCTGCACCCCCCGGGTTAATCTCTCCAACTGCTGATGTTTTATCTTAGGTTTATTTCTGTAATACATATGGACATTAAAGCTGACATTGTGTTCAGATCCTGTCTGTTGAATGTTCTGGCCACTTAATTTATGTGGCAGAGTAAGCAATGAATTTAAAGTAGGACTGCAGCTACTCAACCAATGAGATGTCAAGTTCCCAGACCTCAAGTTGACATGTTTAAATGTCTTGTTTTGTCCAAGACACAAAGATATTACTGTCATTAATGACCAAAGCCAGCAAATATTCACATTTACAGGCCTAGTGCAAATTCATATTTCATGTGGGGGGAAAAAAAGTGTTATCAGTTTTTTGGAAAGTTGAAAGCTAAATGCAACACGTTTTGAACGTTAATCTTAACACTATAACAGCCTTCAGAACATATAAGCCAAGTTGTCCAAAGACAAAAATCAAGCCTAGCCCTAAAATAAATGCATCTTGAATGAAAATCCTTACTGGACGAAGTTTTAAATTTCAATTCAATTTTATTTATATAGCGCCAAATCACAACAACCGTTATCTCACAGCGCTTTTCATAAAAGAGCAGGTCTAGACCATACTCTATGATGATATTTACAGAAGCCCAACAATTCCCACCAAGAGCAAGCACTACAGGGGTTCCCAGCCCACTTCAGACTTGGACCCCTATTGTTTTCGCTCGGATTTTATTTTTTTTATTGTTCCGTGCATAAAACTCATACTGTGGCCTAGACGTTAACTGCTAGGGACGCGAAACTCATAGGGTAGGTCCAGTCCACTGCACGTAACTCAGGCGCAAAAAAAATGGTGTTTTAGTCTAGTGTTGTCCAGATTAATCAACTTTGGTCGGAATCAGCGTCACTTTAGATCATCAGTTGTGTTAATCAGGCAAAAACATTCTGTTGTTCCAGCTTCTCAAATGTGAGGATTTAATACAAATTTTAAGATGTCAACCTTTCACATTGGGGAAATTGTGACTTTCTAAAATGAACGACTATTCAGTAAATATTTTGACTATTTTTTGATTAACACTTATGGATTTCTCAGGTGTGTTGTTTATACATTGTAACTGTTCACTCTGTTGTTTTTGTTCCTGCTCTCAGCTCTTCTGTGCTTTTGTTGGTTATTGTAACCTCATTTTCTCATGTCTCTGCTGTCCTTATGTCTGTCCTCCTCTGACACGCCCCCTACCTTGTCTCTCTGGCCACTGCCTCCTCAATCTCCGTGTATTGATACTGCTTGGTGATAGCCGGCCCACTCGCGCCCCCTCCCCCCTCCATGCAGATCACCCCTCAGCTGCCTCTGATGGGCTTTGTGGCCCGAGTTCAGGAGACTAGTAAGTGGCTTTTAGACCCCTCGCTCCCCCTACATGACAGCCATTTGTTTTAAGTCCTCTTCCCAACAGTGATTCGTCCCCTTTTGTGGAATATTTTCTTACTGAAGTGAACAAGTGATCAACCTCCAACATCAGCTGGGTCAGGGATTTGCTGCCACCAATTAGGTTTCTGTACCTTTTATCTTAAACTGTAAATGCGTACATTTGTCAGAGTGAGAGCTCAGGAGGCGCATTATATCATGATCTGATCATTCTTTGCCCTGTTGTTGGTCAGAAGAATAGTAATTTTGCCTTGTTTTTCCTTTCTGATCAGCCACATAGATTTTTCACAGTTCTTATACGTGCTGGATACAAATCATTAACTGTAGGACACTAATAATATTTTGTGTGGATGACGACATTGCTAGCGATATTAAAAAATTGTACTATCAGCAAATCACACAAAAAGATCAGAACCTACAGTGTGTCAGTCTATCTATACATACATCTCTACCCTGTCTGCGTTTCAAGCCCATTAGTTCCTACAAAAGAAGGGACACACAGGGTTGGGTATCGTTTAAAATTTTACAATACCAGTACCAAAACCAGTACCCTTAAAATGATACCAATACCAATGGAGTACTTTATTCAATACCTTGCATAAAATGCCACCTGCTGAAGCCATAGTAATTGATTGGTAGCCTATTATTAGCTGGTACTTCGCTGGTACTGGGAACCGCAATGCCTTGCGTTGCGAAAACTGAAAAACCTATTTTAATTAACTCCTCCGAAGCCGCAAGTCCGATCGACACAAAACTTGGCACAAACCATCTGTGGACCAACCCGATACAGACTTGTGCTCCCCAGATCGATGTGCGGAAAACTGTTCCAATTATAAGCTAACAATTATTGACCCAAAACGCTAGTAACAGGAACTGATGTCATATCTTTGGTTTGGAATGGCCGATCGACACCGAACTTGGAGCACTTATGTAGGACACCCTCTGCAAAGTCTGGTGCAACTGGCCCCTAGGTGGCGCTGTTTAACACGAAAACTTTGTTCCTCTATAACCACAGGTCGCGTTGACATGAAAGTTGAGCTGAATTTTTCAGCATGGTCCCCTTACTTCAAGCACCAAAGTTCACCCAAATATGCCCATAGGTGGCGCTGTTAATGCAGATTAAAGACGTTAAAAAAATCCCATTGACTTACATGCATTTTATGTCTCCAGTCCCACAAGTCCGATTGACACCAAATTTGGGGCAATTGTTCCCATGGGCCCCTGATGACACCTGAAAAATTTGGTACAATTTGGATTCTAGGTAGCGCTATAATCAAAGCTGAAATTGGGAAATGCCATTCATTTCAATGGGATTGACAACCACGGTACATTTTGCCTAGTTTTGGAATGGCCGATCAACACCAAACTTAGGGACCTTATGCGGAACGACTTCCCGAAGGCCTGTATAAAATTTTTATTCTCCGACTGGCGCGCCCTCTGCGGGGCGAGGGGGGCGGCTGGCGCCGGGGGGCTTGGACCCCGCATGCTCTAAGCATTCACAACATATGTTCTTCTGACGGTTCAGAATTCTACTTTATTTTTATTAGTGTGAATGCTATGCAATAGCATAATCTTCCGTACGTTTTTTGAGTACTAACTACTTCTACATACTTTGTGCTAGAAAAACCATTCAACTATTAAAATGTTCAGCTCTTTAAGGACATTTATGCTTGTATACAACTTTTTGGTATCTTTTTATGGTTTTTAAAATATTCCGGTTTTGTCAAATATTATTACGGAGCTCGCACAGTCAGCTTGGAAGTGGGAGCGTTGCCGACTAACTGCCACATAGACTCCAATAGTAAATCAGACCTGAAGATTCAGGAGGAAGGTAGAAAGTTGGTCATTTGTACATCGCTGCTGTGGACACAGTTTTCGCACTAAAAACACAAATCTCGCACAGGATCTTCAGGTGGATCTTGTCTCTCTCACGGTATGTTTTCTTCGGCGATGTGAGTTACAGTCTGTTCGGTAGGAGCCGGAGAAACAGAGCAGTGCTTCAGGTCAAAACTCAATGAGAGCAGCTGTTTAAGCCTGTCTAAGTCACACAGCTTTTATCATCGCCATGGCAACCTTAGAATGTAGGCACACAGCTGATTGTGAATGATGTAATCAGTGCAGTTTGATTGACAGACACATAAAAACACAGAGAAATGTATGGGGTTGATTGTTCTTATGTAGTATGTGTGATGCTTTGGCAATATTGTTACACATTCATGCTAATAAAGCTAATTTGAATTGAATTGAGACACACACACACACACACTTAGAAACACAAACAACACACACACACACACACACACACACACACACACACAAATATTTCAAATTAAATGCCCTATTATGGTAAACTTTGTTACAATGAAAGTCAATGAGAAAATCATTCAAACTCACTGATCTTCAACCTCTTCCCACCAATTCATACATTCACGTAGAAACGCCATTCCACCTTTAAAACGTTCACAAACCTTTGGACTCTTTCCAGTGAATTCTACTTTTTCACATCTCTTATACTTTTCACACAATGTCATTTCAAGTTTCATGTTGTTTTCATCCTGTTTTCTGAGTTATAATGGGAGCGGATGAGACGGAATGTTGAGAGTTAGAGTGAGAGGACCAACTGACACAGTGGGAATTCGCTTCAAAATCTTCTTAAAAATTTGTCTTCAACTTGCTGTACCTCCCACAATTTTCACTCTACATACATAATTTTTTCACAAGTTGTAGGAAAACTTGTTCTGCGAATGAGAATGAGAAGAGACCCACTCAACTGCCGCATAGACTCCCATACTAAAAAAGTGCTGCAGTTTCAGGAAAGAGGCAGCAAGGTGGACATCTCTATACTGCTGCAGTGGACACATTTTTGACAGTAGACAGACAAATCGCGGACATCATCTTCATGAGGATCTTATCTCTAACAATATGTTTACTTTAGCACTGAGAGTTACGGTCTGTTCGGTCGGAGCAGGAGAAGCAGAGCTGTGCTTCAGGTTAAAACTCAATGAGATCAGCTCTCTAAGCCTGTCCAAGTCAGACAGCTTTTAGCATCGCCATGGAAACCTGGGAATGCTGGCTCAGCACACAGCTGATTGAGATGATGTAATGATGTAATGCAGACAACTCAGTAAACAACCCTTCACTACATCCTCCAGCACCTGGACTCTCCAGGAGACTACACCAGGATCCTGTTTGTGGACTCTGCCTTCAACAACATTATTCCAGCTCTGCTGCAGGACAAGTTCTCCCAGCTGATCATGCCTGCTGCTGTATCACAGACTTACTGTCCAGCAGCAAGCAGCACTTGAACCCGGGAAAACATGTTTCTGACTCCAGAACTGTCAGCACTGGTTCCCTTCAAGGCCTTGTTCTTTCCCCTCTGCTCTCCTCCCTGAATACCAACAGCTCCACCAAACCACCAAGCTCCTGTTGTGTGCAGATGACACCAGCCTCACTGGGCTCATCTCTTGTGGGGATTGACCATCTGGGGTCCTGGAGCAACCAGATCAATCTGGACCTCAATGCTGTGAAGACAGTGGAGATGGGCGTGTATACCAGTAAGAGCCCAGCCGCACTCATCCCCATCAATCTGTGCAACTCAACACTGTGGAGTCATTCCGCTCACCCAGGACCTCCAGTGGGAGTTGATACGCTTGTGTCACCTTCATACTAATTACACGATTTCAAACTTCTCCAAGTTTTCATACCCCTTTCTAAATATTTCAGGTCATATCTTAACAACACTTGGGCGAGTTTCTCACATTTATTCAACTTCTTCATGGCTTTCAGCTAAAAACTACATTCAAACCTTAAAATGTTCCATATTTATCAGTGCAGTTTGAAGTTTATTCAACTTTAAAATCTTATTCATATTAGAACATTTCCCATGTTTCCAAGATTTCATAGTCCTTCAGCTACTTTCTGCACATTAAAGCCAGCAAAGCAGTCTAGTGTCAGCTTTTCAACAGTCCTTAAAACCTTCCACATCTTTCATACATTTGTACTATTCAAGTTTGTTCAAGACAGCAATTCAGTTTAGCGTCAGCTTTTCAACAAAACTTTCCACATCTTTCATACATTTGTACTATTCAACTTTATTCAAGCCAGCAATTCAGTTTAGTGCAAGCCATTCAGCAGACAGCATTCACACCGCAATTTCTTCAGAAATTGCTTTTCTAGTTATTTTTATTGTTGTTATGGACAAGCAAGGTTATCTATTTTTTGTCTATTTTTTTTGGTTTCAAATAACTGTGGGAGATTGTATCTGATCACTCCTCATGAGTAATATTATACAGGAAAAGACTACAGCTTGTGAATTTTTTTATATTTAAATGAAAGAGGAGTGAAATAGTTCAGTGACCAAATAAGTGGTAGGAAACTAAGGTAATTTTTTGATATAAGGTAAACAACGGGAAATTATTTTAAGTTTCGATCAATAAACAGAATTGAAAGATCTGAGTGCTTTTTCCTTTATTGGTGAGTCGCAAACCTCCAAAAAGACCACAGTCACAAGTATAAAACGAGTCAGGAGTCTGTCACTTAGCTACATTAAAGACTCTCAAACAGAGGAAAAGACAATCTGTACTTCCAGGAGATAAAACCAACTACACCTGAAGCAGTTGCAGCCGGAGGCTCAGTGAGTAAAATCAGCTGATTGATGTGATGGAACGCAGCGATCGATCGGTGACCAGTGATGTGAATAGCAAATATAAAAATGTATAGAGAACTGTTAAATGATACAAAAAGATGAAACCAACGGAAAGCCAAGCTTGTGGTGATAAACTTGCAACAGTGACGAACATGCCTGAGACCGCAGCCGAAGGTGAGCGGCTGTTAAAATCACTCATGGACTCGGTACAGGCCTTTTTATACAGTTTATGGTGCAGCCACATAAGGAAAAGAGGCGTGCTCTTCTCTTTCTTTGGGTGTGTTGTTTGCGTGTTTGGCTGCAAGAAAAACCATACAAATAGTAATTTTTTGCTGCGATGTGGTTACAAAAATTAGGCCTAGGTATCGATTGAAGGACTGGTTTGACTGGAGCGTTTTCAATTCTACTAGATACTGGGCTGTTTTGGTCCATACCTTAAAGGTATTGAGTATCAATACCCATCAATCCCTAGAGACACACCATAGCAAACATTTAACAAAGTATGTTTATTTGAACCAGAATAAGAAGAGAGAACAAGAATTACACCAAATTATAGTACACTACAAGTGGTAAAAAAACAAGATAAATACAACTAAAAAAGCATTTCCAGAACCCAAACCAAACTGAACCAAAGGTGGAGCCTGTGGAGAGAAACAGAGGGGAGTCAGTCTGCACTGGGTCCAGGTGCCCTGAGTGAGTATTTGGGGCAGCAGGACGGTGTACAGTCGCAGAGAAAAGTATGTCAACCCCTAGGCTTATAACTTCTCCAAAAGCTAATTAGAGTCAGTAGTCAGACAACCTGGAGTCCAATCTATGAGACGAGATTGGAGGTGATAGTCAACGGAAGATGGGTGATGCAACAGGACAATCCCCGAAAAGCACAGAAGCAAATCAACAACAGAATGGCTTTAGCAGTAGAAAATACGCCTTCTGGAGTGGCCCAGTCAGAGTCCTGACCTTAACCTGATTGAGATGACCTCGAGAGCAATTCACACCAGACACCCCAAGAATATTGCTGATCTGAAGCATTTTTGTAAAGAGGAATGGTCTAAAATTCCTCCTGACCGTTGTTCAGCTCTGATCTGCAACTACAGGAAACGTTTGGTTGAGATTATTGCTTGTTATTAAATCCAAGGGTTCACATACTTTTTCCACTCTGCACTGTGACGGTTTACACAATGTTTTACTTTAGTTAGTCAGTAGTTTAAGCAGATTGTGTTTGTCTATTATTGTGATTTAGATGAAGATCAGATCCAATTTTATGACTAATTTATGCAGAAATCCAGGTAATTCCAAAGGGCCCACATACTTTTTCCTGCGCGCGTGTGTGTGTGTGGTGTGATGAAGGAACATGTCACCCAGTTAAATTGTTTCTGGACAACAATAGAGCTCTATGGCTCAGAGGAAGGAGAGACATCAGGCTGTGATACACAAACAGCACTTGTTGATAGATACATTCATGGTATCGCTTGGTCTTTTCATGGGATGTGCTGATAATGAGAATTACAGAATAATACAAGACTTGCCCTTTAACATTGTGTTACTACTTGGTTGGATTTTGTGCCATTAAATGGAGCTAAAACTGTCAGTTTCTACAAGTGGAAAAGGAAAAATAAATTAAACTGAGCTCAAAGCAGATGTAATTACCCCCACAGTCACATTTTATTTTTTGATGTTTAAAATAGGAGTGAAACACCTAATTGGGAGATAACTACTGGTCCCTGTGGAAACAGATGTTGGTGGTTGAGGACTTGTAAAAGAGTGAAGGAACACGTAAAGCATGATATGAATAATGAAGCATGTTTGCTTGTTTTTTCATGAGCATGATCATGTTTCCGTGTAATTTCTGTGTGTGTGTATATGTTCACACTGATTTCTCTGGAGAATCCCTTTAACCTAGTTCCTGCTTGTATTTCTTTAAATCAGTGTGTGTGCATTTAGTTCCTGTCCTGTCACACCACTCTGTGTTTTGGATGTCCTGCTCTTACAGTTGAGTATCAGTAAAGTGCTGTGGTTACAAGGTTTTCCTTCTTAAATGCATCCACCATGGACTGTTTGTTTCTCTTTCTGCATGAGAATGCCGGGCAGCCATCTGTGTCCCCGACAAACGTAGTCGAGTTTTTTTCTCCCTTTTTTTTTTGCCTGTAACGGGTTGGTTTTTTTTTCCTGCCTGTTTGAAAACTTTTTTTAGTCTCAGACGTCCCGCCTCCACCTCCACCTGCCGAGGAGCCAGTGTTTGAGGAATCTACACCACCTCCTCCACCGCCGGAGGACTACGAGGACGATGAGGATGAAGAAGAGTCTGCGGTGGTGGAGTACAGTGACCCCTACGCTGAGGAGGACCCGCCCTGGGCTCCACGCACCTACCTGGAGAAAGGTAAGCCTCCACTGCTTACCCGTGAGGCAATTTTAAAAACACTGTAGGACAAAATTCAGTGCAGTGTCAGGACTAGACTATGAGTTCAAGGAGAAAGTATAGAGAGTGAATTCAGTTTCACAAGATATAATCCGTTCCTTGGGCCGCTATGCTAATTATTTGGTATGGCAGTGAAAGTAAATTGAATTAAAGCTGCAAGCAGCGTTGGGCGGGCCCTGGACGTGTGAGTTTATACTGACTGCTTTTATGTATGCCTGATTAGGGTGTAGAGAAACCTGCATTGTCTGTATTTCCCTGCAGTGGTGGCCATCTATGACTACGCTCGAGACAAGGAAGACGAGCTATCGTTCCAGGAGGGTGCCATCATCTACGTGATTAAAAAGAACGACGATGGCTGGTACGAGGGCGTGATGAACGGGACCACGGGCCTCTTCCCCGGCAACTATGTTGAGTCCATCATGCACTACGCCGACTGAACAAATCTCCCCCTCTGAGTGGATATGGAAGAGGAGCAGGACAAGCGTTTGATGGGGAAGGAACGGGGATGGAGGGGAGCCAAGGGTTTAAGGTCAAAGACTTTGATCAGACAGAGCATGATCACCTCCGGGCGAAGAGGGAAATAAGAGACTGGGGGAAGAGGGAGCAGTTTTTTAAGAAGTTGCAACACGACAAACTGATGCCCATTCTCTTGACGTAGGCGCCATTGTAAAACAACCACTACTCTAGATATATCCTTCCCTGTAATTTCTTTCTTTATTTGACTGAGGAGGACTGGACAGTGATGGATTTATTGTATTTTGAGAGTTTATATTAGGAGGTCACTACTTTATTTTTGCTTCATGTTTTTGCCCTTATTTTAAACAATATTTATTTGGATTTTGTAGTGGGATAAATGGTGAGCAGGTAGATGTGGCTTTTGAGGGGGATTTAGTTGGTATTTCCGTGTTGCAGCCTCGGAGAAAGGGCTGGAGGAGAATGCCTTCAATTTGTAGATTTTCTCCATAACACTCCAGAGACATTTTAGTGAGAAGTCCTCTCGCTCTCTCTTGCTCTCTCTCTCTCTAATATCCTCGGTGGGGGGAAAAAACGGTACTTTCCATACTTGATATTTGGTGAGGTACCTCAGCAGGGAGTGTGCCAAAGCTGACATTCGCTTAGATAAGCACATCAGATGTCTGAAGGTGACACACATGAAGCTAGATAAAAGTAGGTAAGAGAAGACGTCTGAAAGCGAGCAGAGTGTTTAAACACAGAGTTTTGCTGCTTTTTTTCCCTCAAAATTTAAATAAAATATCTTGCACCACGAGAGTCCGATGTTTAACTCGTAGGGGCGGGTTTTGTCGCTACATGCTTCACTTTGCTGGCGAGTGTGCATTTATCGGGAGAAGGAATCGTCATCCAGCCCTCAAATAGGAGAGGAAAGAGATCCTCAACTGCACAATGACCTGGATTTTGAAGTCTTACTCGGCAGCTCCCGTCGTGAATAATAGAAGTATATTAGCTCGACTGGCAAGGCTAATCATATGCAGTGTTAATATGCATTTTAGATGAAGACTTTGGGGGGGGGGGCATTTTACCAAGGGGTCCAGAATTAAGTTTTGCTTGCAGAGCGGCAGACTGCATGTTATGACGGGGGGGGGGGGGGGCTTTCTTTTCTTCTCTACTGATGATTAATGTCTTAATATTTTTAGATATGGTGTGGTTTGGTTGTTGATATTCACCCACGATGACTCCTGATGCATTTAGGTTATTTCTAAGATGCTTGTGCCATATTGAAGTGTGTGTTACTATTCAGAGGTTATCACTTCATTTGCAATAAATTGGCCAGAGTGGGGTGGAGTGTCGTTGAACTAATTTTTTTAAAATTTTAACTAATTAACTTTCTTTTTTTTTCTCCACTTTTCCCAAGTTGTTTTAAATCAAAAGCACATCCATTTGTAGTAAAAAGGTGTAGAAGAAGAAATAATATAAATGTGAGATGTATTATGTCCTCAAAACAGGACGTATTGAATATAAAAAGAAACCAGCTGTTGTGTTCAAATGGTTTTAACCGTCGCAGGCCCCCAATACTTCTTAACGCTGTCAGTTTAGGCATCGTTCGTCCTCCGTAAAGTTTCTAATACGCTTGGCTGTTTGCGAGGGCTCAGTGCTTGTACTTATGTCAGAATCTTTATTTTCTATTAAAAAAAAAAGAAAAGAAATAATAACAAGTGGGTCTGTATGTGAGTCTTGCATGCCATTGTTCTTATCTGTACTGGTGTCCCAAAAACCTTTTGTGGCGAGATCACCCATTCTTAAAAGGCAAGCAGCCCTGCAGCTCCGACCAGGTACCACCAGCCTCATCCAGAGACTGTACAACTTAATTCAAGCCCGCGTCCGAGGAGTCCCTCTCTAACCTGTGGGGGAGGGAGGGGAGGGGAGGGACAGGGCTTCCTCCACCCCTGACAGTATCTGTCATTACACTCTTACAACACTAAAAAAAAATTAAATAAGGCCCTTGGTCTGCAGGATTCACAGCTCCCTGGAGTCTGTCGTCCCTCGGGATGTCAAGTTTAACAATCCATAATGCCATTGTGTTGCACAGATAAAGTTGCATTGCAGAAGTATCATATTTGTAAAATCATGAGAACAAAGACAATAAAGTTATTAAGATTTATTGGTGTATTAATGCTTGGTTCTTGTTTTTCTGTATTGAAGATATGTATTAAATATTAGACGGCAGAAATTCTGGCTTTCGGGGAACATAGTCCAATAAGTTTGGGGGGCGGGTCGTCCACAATCTTTCTGGCTGGCCTCCTGGAGGGATGGAAGATTAGTTAGTTAGATTATTAGTTTAGATTAGTAGATGTTTTATTAGAGAAAGTATATGAAACCATGACCAAAATAGTCCTGGAGTTACTTATGGATGGAATTAAAGTGAAAATAAACGATTCCCCTTTTTTCTATGGACCCCCCTCAATGAACCCTGGGGATCCCCGGACACTGATAGCAGACTGGACGTCTGTTGTAGAATGAGTCATGACTAGTGTTGCAAGCCCAAACCGAGACCAAGTCAAGACCAAGACCAGTTCCCCACATTACATGACACAATAAAATGTAGAACGAGATCATAGTTACTTGTCAAATTGATCTGAAAGATTCATTCCCATTAAAACACCCACATACAAACAGAGCTGAAAAATCAACGTATGCATCGCCATCACCGGGATGGGTGACAGTCTTAACTGTAGCAACACATTTTTAATTAGGGTTATTGGCTGCATTTGAAGCAATAGATGTTAACAATTAAATCAGACGATGCAAAAGCAATTTATTGATAATCCCAAAGTTATGGTCTTGACATAATATCCCGAGTCCTCAATGTCCGAGACAAGACCGCGGGTAATAATAATAATAATCTTTTTTTTTAGAGCAGTTTTCAAAAACAAGTTACAAAGTGCTTTAACAAGTGTAAAGACACTAATACCCAAAAAACAATAATACAAAAACAATACAAGATAAAGAAAAGACTAAAATACATTTTTAAGATAAATATAAAATTAGTAAAATAGAATAAAATAAAAGGGATAAAATAAAGTCAAATAAGATCGGGAAAGACTCTCCTATAAAAGTATGTTTTAAGAAGGGACTTAAAAGAGTTCACTGACTCAGCTGACCTGATTTCCTCGGGCAGGCTGTTCCAGGGTACAAATGCGGTTGAGTCTGAGAGGAGACCAAGACCATCAAAAAGTGGTCTTGAGACCAAGACCATCGAGTACTACAACACTAGTCATGACCACAACGCTGAAGTTAGCTTCCGATTCAGCAGTTAAGGGGAAAGTGAAGGGGAACTTAAGTGAAAGTTAACCTAGTTGCTGAGCTGTAGATTTTGATTGTTGCACTTCTTACTGTTGTGAAAGCTGTTATGCATTTTAGGCAAAGCCTTAACGCTGTCTGAAACACTTTTTTAGATTTGAAAAAACTTTTATTTGTGAAAATGATAAAAGGGCGATTTCAATGCTTTTTCTTCACATGCAGACCATATTAGACCTGGTCCAGATCCAAAACCACTATACCTAGAGCTCTCAAATCTGGACTAGATTGTCCAAGAGAGGCTAAAGTTGGAAGGCAGAGGTTTAACATTGAGTGCAGGCTGGATGACAACGGAATAATTTCCACTGCAGCCACTCTAAATCCGTCAAATTGGCCATCTGATGAAGACAAGCACATACTATATGGAGACAACAAACTTCTCATCATACAGAAGACTCTCGCTGTTGAGGTCGCAACCTGTCCTATACTCCTCAAGGAATTCCACCAATTCCAACAATCTGTGCAAAGTGCTCTGTCAACAGCCGAGTGTGAAAGGGGATTCAACGCCATGAACCATATTCTCACAGACGACAGAAACAGAATAAACATCTCCACGCTGAACAGCCTACTATTCATTTTAGTAAATGGACCAGGGGTTTTCTCCTTCCCTGCCTGGAGACTCGCAGGGGTGTGAGGGGTCAGAAAGTAAGTTTCCAAATAAAATATATATTTTTATTTACAAAGCACAAAAACTAATTTACAAAACAAACTAGAAAATTCTGGGCCCATAAAAGAGATCAACTAAACAGAACTTAACTCAACATAACATATTTATTTATTGAGCATTTATTTATTTCTGTATTTATTTCTGACTGTGTCAGGATCGGTCCTCCATAGCGGGGTGGGAGAGTTATCAAGCACGTAAAGTTTGGTTCAGATGTGAGCATGTACACTGAAGTTACAACAACTTCCTGTGTCATGGCGAAGACTTGATCTCTGACGCCACGCCACGGACACACCCATTGACGAAAACTCGCAAATAGCACAACTTTTCATCTTCAATGCCTTTAGAAGGCACAGCACAAATTTGAAGTCGGTCGGACTAAATCCCTAGGAGGAGTTCGTTGAAGTACGAAGTGTGTAAATCATCCAAAATTTGACGTAAAATTCAAAATGGCCTACTTCCTGTTGATTTTAGTGCATCACTCCAAGAGGCTTTTTTGTGCGTCTGGACAAGATACACGTACCACAGAAAATTCGTGCACGTAGGTGAAATGTGCGGCGGGGGCTGCTTCGTTAAAAGTCACTTCCTGTTGCCAGCAGGTGGCGCTATGACTGTGGGTGAATGTCGGCATGTACATGTATTCAGGGCGGGACTCTCATCCTACATGTACAGTTTGGTCCAGATGTGAGCATATACACTGAAGTTACGACAACTTCCTGTGTCATGGGGAAGAGTTGATCTTTGACGCCACGCCACGGACACGCCCATTGTCGAAAACTCGCAAATAGCACAACTTTTCATCTTCAATGCCTTTAGAAGGCACAGCACAAATTTGAGGTCGGTCGGACTAAATCCCTAGGAGGAGTTCGTTAAAGTACGAAGTGTGTAAATCATCCAAAATTTGACGTAAAATTCAAAATGGCCGACTTCCTGTTGGGTTTAGGCTATGGCTCCAAGAGACTTTGTTGTGCGTCTGGACAAGATACACGTACCACAGAAAATTCGTGCACGTAGGTGAAACGTGCGGCAGGGGCTGCTTCATTAAAAGTCACTTCCTGTTGCCAGCAGGTGGCGCTATGACTGTGGGTGAATGTCGGCATGTTCATGTGTTCAGGGCGGGACTCTCATCCTACATGTACAGTTTGGTCCAGATGTGAGCATGTACACTGAAGTTACAACAACTTCCTGTTTCATGGCGAATCATCGACGCCACGGACACGCCCATTGACGAAAACGCGCAAATAGCACAACTTTTCATCGTCAATGCCTTTAGAAGGCACAGCAGAAATTTGACGTCGATCTGACTAAATCCCTAGGAGGAGTTCGTTAAAGTACGAAGTGTGTAAATCATCCAAAAATGGCCGTAAAATTCAAAATGGCCGACTTCCTGTTGACTTTAGGCTATGGGTTCTTGAGGCTTTTTTGTGCGTCTTGATATGATACATGTCCCCAGAAAATTTCGTACATGTAGGTTGAACGTGAACGAGGGGCTAATTTTTTCCAATTTTCTAGGTGGCGCTAGCGAGTCATTTTGCAACGCCCATGTGCGAAACTTGTAGAATACGAAATTTTTCACCGGTTCTGACATGTTTGCAAATTTTGGTGAGTTTTCGAGAATGTTTAGGCCATGTCAGTTGAGCCTACTTTGCAGAAAAAAAAAAAAAAAAAAAATTAAAGCTGCAAGCAGCGTTGGGCGGGCCCTCGCACTTGTAAGCGCGTCCGCGCGTGAGCCGGCCGAGTGCACATTCTGGAGCTCTGCCGGTGCGGCTGTGAATTTCCTACGCGGTTCCGACGCCGCATGAATGTGCTATATGTCACTTCCTGTGTCCCCTATGTGGAGCTACATAGCACTTGCCGCTATGATATAAATCGGTATTGACGTGTAGATGTCTGCGGGGTGGGAGAGTTATCAAGCACGTAAAGTTTGTTTCAGATGTGAACATGTACACTGAACAATAATGTACCCAAACAATAAAATAAATTCCTTTTATATTTCCCTGCCTTGTTGTTTATGTGTACATACAGAGGAAGAATGTGAGAACAGCACACATTTCATCGTTACTGTGTGTTAGAGCATGGGAGAACAGTGGATACTTTTAATACAGCCCACACCCCTAATACTGTGTAACTATAACAAGTAGAGAACAGAAGAAAAAGATGTTCTTTCTTTACAACTGTCTGCATAGCTTATTCATATTGTGTAATGAATGAAAATAAATAGGCCTACTAGGCTCCTCTCTACTTTGACATTTAAGATTAGCTTGTTTGATCCACCTTCATACACATGTGACATTACTGTACAACTTGAGAAAGGTGAGTTGTTTTCTGCTCCAGCCTGCCTAAAAGAAAAGCGTTTTTGGGATTAAATGGACTTTATTAGCTGCTGCAGTGCAGGATGAACTCAGAATAGACCCATTTCTCACCTTATTATTCTAAATCATGCAACGAAGAAGAAGAAATGCATAAGAAATCCTGGGACAAAATCTGTCCACAAATACTGTACAGCATGTAGTCTGATGATCAAGACTTGTGTTATAGCTGACTTGGGCAGTGAAATGTTAATTTTTTTAATTCATGTGGTCATAGTTGTCCACAACTCAAATCAGAATATAAGAAGAAATGTTTTATACCACCTCAAGAAGGCTTCCTATCAGAAAGGTAGGAAGGTATTTCAAATGTACAACTGCAGTACTTAAATCTAAGTAAAGTAATTTCCCTGACATTTTTGTGTTACTTTACTTTTAATAGACCCATGTAAGAGGTTTTATACTTCCTGTGAGTATAATCCAATCAATCTTATTTTCATACTGTATATCCGTTGTGTAATTTGATAAATTGTGTTGTATGTCGTGCTCGCATCTCAGAGAAGACTCTGACTGCAACATGCGTCTTTGTAAAGAGAGAAACAGACAGAAAAAGTCTCTAACTCTGCCTGTCAGCTCGCTCTGCTCCGTTAAAACTGAATTTACCATACAGAATTGAATACGAGTGCACTCCAGATTTAGCTGCAGCCAGCTGACCGTGTGCTTCTCCCTATACCGCAGTTCTGTGTCCATGCATGCAGCAAACTGAAAGCACTGTCTGTCGGAGCGTCTACGTGAAAAGAGAAGGAAGACATTGCTGGTAGTGTCTTCAGAGTT